TCATACTCCAGATGGGCACAGGACAGTATATTAAGAGGTAAATGCCAATACTGAACAAGCAGCAGGCTCATCACACACTATGGAGTTCTTTGCCGGAGATGCCGCTTCAGAGAGCACCCCAGAGTGGCAGGGAAGACAACTGTTATGGTATTATAATCCTGAAGTGCTTAAAAAGTTCTATCACTGTGAGAATTAAAGCCCCCTATTTATAACTGAGTTTGATACCTAACTACTATGACATTAAAATAAATTTTGCCTCATAAGGTTTTGAGGAATTGATTTTGTTCCTTGAAGTGTAAATCAGGATTTCAAGTTTCTGCTTCAATAGTATCATCTCTTTCTTTGTGGCTACTTTGGACACACTAATATGATACCTAACATCATAATACTAAATTTTAAAAACCTTTAAAAAAACTCTGCTTTGCAAAAATTAGTCACTGTACAAATCTGTGATTTAGAAAATGAGGCATTGGCCAGGGACTGTGACTCATGCCTGTAATCCCAGCATTTTGGGAGGCTGAAATGGGAGGATCACTTGAGCTCAGGAGTTCGAGACCAGACTGGACAACATAGTGAGACCTCATCTCTATTCAGAAAATAAATTAGCTGGGTGTGGTGGTGCAGCCTGTAGTCCCAGCTACTTGGGAGGCTGAGGCAGGAGGACTGTTTGAGCCCAGGAAGTTGAGGCTCCAGTGAGCTGTGATCATACCACACAGCACTCCAGCCAGAGCGGTTCAAAAAAAAAAAAAAAGGCAATGGCTAAACTGTCATATGTACATCACACAAAACACTATGCAGCAGCTTTTTAAAAGGTAGACTTACATATACTGGCAAAAAAAGATCCCCAAGGCACAGTGTTGAGTAAATACATTGTAAAATAACCCTTACAGCTTTTTCTTTTTAAAGGCCCAAACTATGTATTTTCCCAATTTCCTACTCTGTTATATACATAGAGGCATGGACAAAAGATACAAAGCAAAGGATCAGCAATAAGAATGGGCAATATTGGCCGGGCGCGGTGGCTCAAGCCTGTAATCCCAGCGCTTTGGGAGGCCGAGATGGGTGGATCACGAGGTCAGGAGATCGAGACCATCCTGGCTAACACGGTGAAACCCCGTCTCTACTAAAAAATACAAAAACTAGCCGGGCGAGGTGGCGGGCGCCTATAGTCCCAGCTACTCCGGAGGCTGAGGCAGGAGAATGGCATGAACCCGGGAGGCGGAGCTTGCAGTGAGCGGAGATGGGGCCACTGCACTCCAGCCTGGGTGACAGAGCGAGACTCCCTCTCAAAAAAAAAAAAAAAGAATGGGCAATATCATTCTGAGTACTGTTCGAAAGGAGTTTAGCTTTGTCACAATGTTTTAAGACTGTTACAAGAAAGAGGCTTGCCACAAATGATATTTCCTAAACGAAAAAAAATGTAATATTTAACTTTTCTTCTGTTGAAGCAAGATAAGTGAACTGCATATATCAAAAATAAGATTTTCTTACTTTACAGGAAAGAAGAACTGAGATCCTGTGTTTTGAATGCAAGTTAAATACAAAATAAAGTACTTGGGTAACTAAAGGTAATCAGATGTAAACTGAAGATCAGGGGACTCGGTTAGTGAAAAAAGGTTACAGAACTATATTCACGAATTCAAGACATGCATTGAGTGTTGTACTCTGTGCCAGCCACTGTGTGGTGCTGGGGCTGCAGAGCTAACCAGACAGATGCCCCACTTCTCCGAGCTTGCTGTCTAATGGAAGAACCAGACAATAATAAAAGAATATAGAGTATGTCAGGCAGTGATAAATGCGGTGAAGACAAGTAAAGGAGGGTTTGGAGAGCCACATGGAGAAACTGGAACCCTCATATATTGTAAATGGGACTATAAAATAGTGTAGCAGCTTTGAAAGACAGTTTGACAGTGCTTTATGTTTAAGTCAAACATAGTTTCCATATGACTTGGTAATTCCACTTCTAAGCATACTCCCAAGAGAACTGAAAACACGTTCACTCTAAAACTTGTATACAAATGTTCTGGCACCATTTCTTTCTCTCTTTTTTTTTTTTCTGAGATGGAGTCTCGCTCTGTAGCCCAGGCTGGAGTGCAATGGTGTGATCTCTGCTTACTGCAACCTCTGCCTCCTAGGTTCAAGCAATTCTCCTGCCTCAGCCTCCCAAGTAGCTGGGATTACAGGCACACGCCACCATGTCTGGCTAATTTTTGTATTTTTAGTAGAGATGGAGTTTCACCATGTTGGCCAGGCTGGTCTTGAACTCCTGACCTCAAGTGATCTGCCCACCTCGGCCTCCCAAAGTGCTGGGATTACTGGTGTGAGCCACTGCGCCCGGCCATGGCACCATTATTTCTTAATAGTCACTAAGTGAAAACAACTCACATGCCCATCAACTGATGAATTATAAACCAAAATGTGGTATAAATAGAGAATGGAATATTATTTGGAGACAAAAAAAATGATGGATGTACTGATACATGCTACAATACAGAGGAACTTTGAAAACACTATGCTAAATGAGAGAAGCCAGACACAAAAGGCTACATATTGTATTATTCCATTTATATGAAATGTTCAGAATAGGTACATCTGTAGAGACAGGAAATACATTAGTGGATTCTAGGGGTGGGGGGGATGAGGAGTGATTATTAATGGATATGAGGTTTCTTTCTGGAGTTATGAAAACATTCTGGAATTAGGAATGATGGATGCATAACTCTGTATATTAAAAACCACTGAATTGTAAACTTTAGAAGGGTAAATTTTACGGTATATAAATTTAATCTCAACTTTTCAAAGGTTAAAAAAAAAAGAGTAAAGCAGAGTGCAGAGATAGGGAAGAAAGTTTGCTATTTTGGATACGGTGGTCAGGAATGACCTTAGTTTGAGCAGCGATCTGAACAATGTAAAGAAGCTACTTGTGCAAATCAAGGAGGTGGGGGAACATTTCAGAAGGAAGAAAGAGCAAGTGAGAAGACTCTGGGAGTAGACACATGCCTGTTTTGAAAGAACAGCAAGGAGGCCAGCCAGTGTAGCTCAGTGCAGTGAGCAAGGGAGTGAGGCTATAGAAAGCCAGGGTCTAGGTCATGTGGAGGCTCTGTAGACCACACTGAGGACTGGACTTCATTCTAAATGATTAAAAAAAAAATATTACTGGAGCCAGGAGAAATATGACTAGTTGCACATTTAATTAATTTAGAGACAAAATCTTGTTCTGTTGCCCAGGCTGGAATACAGTGGTAAGATCTTGGCTCGCTGCAGCCTCTGCCTCCAGAGTTCAAGCAATTCTCCTGCCCCAGCCTCCCGAGTAGCTGGGATTACAGGTGCATGCCACCACGCCCAGCTAATTTTTGAATATTTAGTAGAGACAGGGTTTCACCACATTGGCCAGACTGGTCTCAAACTCCTGACCTCAAGTGATCCGCCGGTCTCAGTCTCACAAAGAGCTGGGATTACAGGCATGAGCCACCGGACCCAGCCTTGATATACATTTTAAAAGGTTCCTCTCTGATACTGGGTGAAGAATAAACAGCACCAAGAGTGGAAGGAGGGAGACTTGTTAGGAGGCCACTGCAGTAGTCCAGGCAAGAGAGATGGCTTAGGTTAGCATAGGTGGTGAAAAGTGGTCCAATTCAAAATGTACTCTGATGTTAAAGCCAAAAGAATCAGCTAATGAATCAGATGTAAGACATAAAATAAAGGAGTCAAAGACAACCCCAAGGACCATGGTCTGAACAAAGGAGTGAATGAAAGGGCCATTTACTGTGATGGGAAAGCCTCAAAAAAGTTCAGTTAATCTTAAATTTGAGGTGCCTAATAGTCTAGCTGCATATACGTGATTGTAATTTAGTAAAATGGTCTGACTGGAGGAGTATAAATTTGAGAGCCATGGCAGAAGGTGTTTGAAGCCACACAAATGGACAGTTCACCAAAGAAGAGATTGGAGAGTTCAAGGACTGAGCCCTGAAGCACTTATCATGTAGACACTGAGAAAACCTGTCTCAATTTACATCCCCTATGAGGATGAGCCCCTTAGAGGAAGAATACAAGGATGCTGCACTTTGGTTATTCTTCCAGAATTAGATGATCTAATGGATAAAAGTTCCTTCAAACCAAGACTTTTGGGATCAAAGGTATCTTTTCTTGATTTTTCAAAGATTTCCTCTTCCTCTATTTCTTTAGTGTTAGCTCACAGAGAGCAGATCTGTTGACCTACTAGATTCTCTCAGATTATTTATCTGCAAAGTATGCTGCCTTAAGGATTTCAAGTCAAATCTCTAGCAACACAATTTTACAGGTACCGATAAGAAACCATCAAAAGATGTATAAGATGTACGTAAACAAAGACTAGGTGCAGAACAGTGTGAAGAGTTTGCTTCTATCTTTATGTATAAGATATATATATATAAAAATATATGGTTGTGTATATGTGGAATATCTCTGAAAGGATATACAATTAATGCATCACTAGATATCCTTTGTATCATCTGAATTGTGTTCCGCATTTGTAGTACTTACTCAGAAAAATAAGTTAAAATCTAGCCACACAGCCTCAACTACCAGCAAAGTCCACAACAGAATGGGTGATGGTTATTATCTTCAATATAAAAAGAGTGTTCTTCAAATGAAAAAAAGAAAAGTTTGACAAAAGACAAATATTAATAGATCTAAGATTTAAAATTAGCATGTCACAAAAGAAATATGGCTAATACATTTAAAAAATATTCATCCTCCCTAGAAACGAAACAAAAACACAAAACCAAATAGTACCATTATTTTACCCATCAGGTAGGAAACTTTAAAACAAATTTTACACTTAATATTTGTACATGTGTCTGAAACAAGAATGCTCATACTTTACTGGATAGAGTTGGTTGTTACCTTCTAGCCAGAGATACCAAACGTCTTAAAACATGTATACATAGCCCTTTTAATCTCACTCAGCAATGCCACGTCTAAGTATGGAGCCTGAGGAAATAATGAAACATACAAAAATATGTATGTAATGGAGATAGAGTAGTCACAGTTTTAATTATAATGGCAAGTCATGGGAGGCAAGCCAGTGTTTACCAATAAAACATTAGTTAATAAATTATGATACAACCAAGTAGCTACTAAAAGCTAAGTTTCCAAAGAATATTTAAAAGTACTTTTTAAATGTTCACAGTACATGGGAGAAAAAAGGGTTAAAGAAAGAACTGCATACATATTCTGATATCATGGATGGGATTAACCCAAAGAAGCCTGGAAAGACATATACCAAAATGTTGAAATTGATTTTTTCTGGGAGTAGATAACAGGTGATTTTCTGCCTTTCTTTTACTTTTTGGTTTCTCTCAGATCTTTTTTTTTGCATGTAACGCTTTTTATACTTGGGGAGAGAACCATAAATGGCATTTTTTTCGGGGGGACCATAGAAGATAGAAAAATCTAGTTATGCTTTTTCATTCTTCCCATTTTTAAACTACTAACAATCAATATACTTAAATCTATGCATGAAAAAAAAAAGAAAATGTCTAGGGAGATTCGTTAGTAATAAAAAATATTTATCAAATCTAAAAGGGTAGAAATACTGCTTTATTGGATAAACTTACTTCCAAATTACTTTCATGTTTTTTAAGAAGTCCTAATGAGCATTCAAGAAGAAAACATATACTGCTTCCACAGGAATAAGGACAAATAAAATGGGGTTGACGCCTGCCACAAATGATATTTCCTAAAAGAAAAAAATGTAATATTTAACCTTTCTTCTGTTGAGGCAAGGTAAATTAACTGCATACATCATAAATAAGATTTTCTTACTTTACAAGAAGGGAGAACTGAGATCCTGTTTTTTGAATGCAAGTTAAATACAAAATACAAAATCCACTCTCTGACCAAGATGAGGGGAAAAAAAGTTATCCTTCAACATTTCAATTCTCATGCAATGAAATCCAAAGGTCTGTTGAATCCACCTTTTCGATTCATGTACTGCCTGTGATGAGAAGAGAAAATTCATTGTTTATTTTTTTAATCCTATACTCTTCTTATAAAAAAAAAAACATGCTTCAGAGATTAAACCTATAAACCATCTTTATAATAGCAAAGTCTAGGGTAGAAACTATTCAAGGTAATTTAATGTATATTTAGAGATTATTTTACTTTCAAAATAAACCAAAGACTTTCAGATTTCTTTTAACTCCAAATAGCAGTATGGAAGTTTAATTTTGAAATTATTTGAGAAGATTCTACGGACTTAAAAAAAATCAATTGAAAATCCTTATTTATTTTAGGTAAGAAGAAACAGGTAATTTAGAAATAGAGAGGAGTTCCAAAACAGGCACCCATTAAGCCAATTCAATTGCACAGTGTAATGATTCTCCCCATAAGACCTTATTTGAAGGTAATTTTACAAAAGATTGTCCAAAATGATTCTAGTACCTTAGCTTATAGCATTTTCAATCACATGATTCATAATCTAAATTAACTGGACTATTAATCTTTTATCAGTGATAAAGTTAGAGAGAAAGGCAATGTTTGAAAATATCTTGACTTTTTCATTAAGAATTCATGTATGGATTGGTTGGTTCCAAAACTGTGGTACAAATAAAATATGCCTATACGTAACAGAAGAATATATTTACAGTTGAAATCATTACATAATCAATCTAGTTCAGGAGGATCTATTTTATACCTAAATTATACTGAAATCAAAGCCCATAGACTTGAAATTATGCTTTTCTGAGGAAATTACTATCTATAGTCCTAAAATATTTAAGCCAACTGCCCTCTCTCTCTAATAGCTATTAGCTCACATGTAAATGGGAAAACAATTTTAACACGCCAGAATATAAGCAATGAAGATAGTATTTCATTCAAACAAGGAACTGTATGGAAAACTGCTACATTTCCTACAAACGTGATTATCCCATAATAAAGTTCTAAGTACAAAACTGATTAGTTCAAACATAATAATGGGGGCCATGCATACCTGTACTTCCTCTTCTGAGAGACATTTATGGCATAGGCATTTACAGAGCCATCCACCTTCTTACCCTGAAGAAAAACAATAAACAAATAACAAACAAAAAACCAGGGAGGATACATTAAATCAGGATATATGAAAGCAGGTGTGGTAGCAGTGGCATGTACCTGTACTCCCAGCTACTTGGGGGCAGGCTAAGGTGGGAGGATTGCTTGAATCCAGGAGTTTGGGACTGCAAGGAGCCATGATCACACCAATCCAATGCACTCCAGCCTGGGCAATTGAGCATGATCCAGTCTCAAAAAAAAAAAAAAAGAAAAAAGAAAAAAAAAAAGAAGAAGAAAGCAGGAGGAAGGCAGAGGGAAGTGGGGGAGAAGGGGGGAGGAGGGGGAGGAGGAAGGGAAGGAGAAGCAGCAGAAGAAGCGGCAGCAGCAGTGGAAGAAGCCGAAACAGCAGCAGCAGAAGCAGAAGCAAGAGCAGCAGCAGCACAAGAAGCAGGAGCAGAAGCAGAAACAGAAGGAGCAGCAGCAGCAAGAGCAGCAGCAGCAGCGGAAGAAGAGGAAGGAGGAGGAGAAGGAAGGAGAATAAAGGAAGGAAGGAGGAAGGAGGAGGAGGAGGAGGAGAGTCCAATGAGGGAGAGATAATTTCCAGATCCTATGAACTCCCAAGGGGTACAACTCTCTGCTCACACTTTTACAATTGCACATAAGCAATTAATATTCAAACCAACAAACATTCACAGTGTATGTACTATATGCAAGGCATGCTGAGAAAGTAGGGTAGCAGAATCTAATCTTTTCTGGTCAAAGAATACTTTGAAACCAGATAAAAGGTATAATCTCCAGAAAAACTCATATTTACACAAAATTTAACTTACAACCTTAGCTAATAATATTCTCATATCATGGCTGGAATGGTTGCCCTTGCAATTTTTTGTTCATTTAAAAAATTATCATTTTTTAGACACAGGGTCTCGCTGTCGCCAGGTTGGAGTGCAGTGGCGTGATCATAGCTCACTGCAGCCTCAAACTCCTGGGCTCAAGTGATCTTCCTGCCTCAGCTCCCGAGTAGCTGGGACTACAGGCACATGCCACCAATCTGGGCTAATTTTGAATTTTTTTTTTCCTGTAGAGATGGGATCTCACTATGTTGCCCAGGCTGGTCTTGAACTCTTGGTCTCAAGCAATTCTCCTGCATTGGCCTTCCAAAGTACTGGAATCCCAGGCATGAGCCATTGTGCCCAGCCCAATTTTGATCTTTAAATCAAGAATCAGAACAGAATAACAGACACAAATGCTAGGTTATGTGTCACTCCGTCTTGACCTTTCTGAATGTAGCACCCATTCTCTTTTTCACAAATTCTTGTTCAGGTCTTCTAATCCAGCCAAGTCAACTCAACATACCCACTTTCCCCCATGTTGTTCCTCATGCCTGAATTGCCTTCCCGGCCTCTAACTTGAACTATCTGGTTATTATCCATTGTTCAAGGCCCAATTCACGCATTCCAGTTGCTAGGAAGTGCCATCTTCTCTAACTGCAGAAAAATGTTAACTGTGCTTTCCTCACAGTACCCTCTATTTTCTTTTCTTTTCTTTTTTTTTTTGAGATGGAGACTTGCTCTGTCACCAGGCTGGAGTGCAGTGGCGTGATCTCAGTTCACTGCAAACTCCACCTCCCGGGTTCAAGCGATTCTCCTGCTCAGCCTACCGAGTAGCTGGGACTAAAGGCATGCGCCACCACGCCCAGCTAATTTTTGTATTTTAAGTAGAGATGGGGTTTCACCATGTTGGCCAGGGTGGTCTTGATCTCTTGACCTCGTGATCCCACCCCGCCGCCTCCCGTAGTGCTGGGATTACAGGCATGAGCTACCACACCCAGCCCAGTACCTTCCATTTTCTACCCTATAAAACCATGATGTGCATCGTAAAGGTATTTTCCCTATGAGACTGCAAGCTTCTTGATGGAGGGATATGTCTGAGAGTCACCTTTGCATTCTTACATCCTAGGTAACTGCACTCCCAGGTATTCAGAAAATGACTTAGATGAGTATCATTAGTTAATGTCATGACACACACAAGTGACCCCCACCTCCTCCCTCTCCCATTACTACCTATGCAAGAGTAGCCTATCTGTGTAGTGTACTTAATTAGATATTGGTGTCAGGGCAAAAACTGATTCTGACCCACTGGCCAAAAGGCATACACAGATTAATATATATTTGAAGTGGGGCTAAAATAAATGTATTTGGTCTTACTTTTCTATACCTATTTTCACGTATTTTTTGGGGGGTGGAGGGTGAGTCCTCAACAAATTACTTGAGGTATATGATTTTGAACTCCCAATAATAGGAAGTAAGCATGACTGAGAAACTGGTCTTGGGCACAAAAAAGTAAATGATGATAACCTTTTTACAAAGTTCGATTCCTAAAGGTTAACTGATTTCTGGCAACTAGTTGCAGAGTTGCATATTATTAGTTCTATCCTCATTTATTTACATGCTGGCATAGAAAATTATCCATTAATAAACAAAACCAAACTTTGAAACTTCCTGGAAGAATGTTATTGAAGTAATTGCAGTTTTAGCCATTATTTTCAATGGCAAAAACTGTAATTACTTTTGCACCAATCTAATAAAATGAAAGGGAAAAGCCAAGCACATTGCTGTGAGGCTACAGTCCCGGCTACTTGGAAGGCTGAGGCAAGAGGATTTCTTGAGCCAAGGAGTTTGAGTACAGCCTGGGCAACACAGGAAGGCTCCGTCTCTTCAAAAATAATAATAAAAAAAATAGACTGAGGCAGGAGGATTTCTTGAGGTCATGAGTTCAAGACCAACCTAGGCAGCACAGCAAGACTCTATCTCTGCAAAAAATAAAAAAATTATCCTGGCGTGGCGGCATGTGCCTATACTCTTAGCTACTCCAGAGGCTAAGGTGGGGAAATTGCTTCAGCCCAGGAGGTCAGGCTGCAGTGAGCCATGATCATACCACTGTACTCCAGTATGGGTGACAAAACAAGAACCTGTCTAAAAAACTAAAAAATGAGGCTGGGTGCAGTGGCTCATGCCTGTAATCCTAGCACTTTGGGAGGCCAAGGCAGGTGGATCCCTTGAGGCCAGGAGTTCGAGACCAGTCTGGCCAACATGGCGAAATCCCATATCTACTAAAAATACAAAAATTAGCCAGACATGGTGGCAGGCACCTGTAATCCCAGAAACTTGGGAGGCCGAGGCAGGGGAACTGGTTGAACCTGGGAGGTGGAGGTAGCAGTGAGCTGAGATGGCGCCGCTGCACTCCAGCCTGGATGACAGAGCGACACTCTGTCTCAAAAAAATAAAATAAAATAAAATAAAAAATAATAAAAATTAAAAAATGAAAATACAATCAAATAGAAAGGAAAATGGGTGACTACACTGGCATATGAAGAGGTCCCACAATAGATCAATGATGAAACATTACAAGATACACATTACTTAAAAACACAAATGAGCTGACTTTATAACTGATAGCCATGAAGCCAACTGCATATAAACTAAATTAACATCCTTGTAGATGTCATTTTAAAAAACTGACATCAATTAGTGTGACAGTACTCCATAATTTTTATAAGATCTATGACTTTTCACCTAATTTTTCCCTTATAAGCAAACATCCTCAACACTGACTACATTTAAGTGATGGGTGGCACCACCCTTAGATCTGACTTTCAGGAATTTCAAATCTGACATCAAACAACAGGAAAACCAAAAAACAAAGAAAATAATTCCATTTTCTTTGGGGAAAAAGTTCCCTCCTCATTCTTCTAAAGACAATAAAACTATAGTTGCTTTACTTTTAATGTATTTTTATTCACCCAACATATATATTAATAAATTTTCATTTATAAAATACTCTTTGGAAAAACAAATAAGGATTTAGGGCATTCAAGGGAAAAAAAGCTGATAAATAAACTTCATTAAATTCCAAAACAGAGTTCACATAACCATTGCAAGAATGAGGGCTTGCTCTTAATTTCTCACCTCAAAACAGTCATGCCTCAGTACTCCTAAGTTACACACTGTCATTTTAAAACATGTGAGCCCTACACAGTCCCATTAGTTAGAAAGAAACTCTTACAGCAACTGCGATTACCCCACTCCATTAGCAACTCAATGGAATACAAGACTTGGGAAAGTGGATTATTTTTGACAATTTTTTCTCAAACATCTCTATTTCCATTTGCAAAACTAAATGGAAAGATTTAAAATTCTAGAAAAGAGACTTTGAAAAATATATTGTTTTTCTTTCCACACACCCTCCCTCTCTCCATCTCCTCTCCTCTTTCTTCTCTCTATGCCTATCTCTCTCTTCCCCCATCTCTCTCTCTATGCTGTCCCTCCTCTACCTAATCCCTCCCTCTTTTTCCTCTTCCCTCATCTCTCTGCTATTATGAAGGCTAGACAGCATTCACTCCCCTATCCACCCTACTTCTAAGCTGTGAGACATGTATGCAGCTGCCCAATGTCATCTCTATCTGGCAGCTGGATTTTGTTCTTCCATTTCCCAGCAGTTCCCCTTCCAGAAACTCTGTTCCGGGTTAACTGTATCACTCAGGGTCCCAGCCTGACACCTGAGAGGCATTACTAACTACTCACTCCCACTTCCCCCAGCTCCTGAATCGTTCTCAACTCAGTTCAGGCCTTCATCATCTTTCACTTGCACAAATCAGCAGTTCTCCCTGCCTCCAGTCTAACCCACCTCTCATCTGTCCTCCATGCTGCCCCCAGAGTTATTGTTCTAAAACACACATATAACCATGCCACTCCCTCATTTAAAAAATCACTACTTCCTCTCCTCAACACCTAAAGAATCAACTCTGAATTCCTTAGCATGACTAAGGGCATCAAAAGCCCTCTGTGATTTGCCTCCTACCTCTATTTCTAGCCTAAGTCACTAGCCCATCAGCACTGCTTTATCCCCGGCAGAATTTGAAATTCCCACAATACACTGTGCTCCTTTACAGCTACATGGCATTTTCATGAGCTCTTCCCTTTACCTGAAATAATCATCTTCCTCTTTTTGTCTGATCACTTCTACTTGCCTTTTAAGATCTAACTCAAACATCGTCCCTGGCAACCACTCCCCGAATTCCAATGGCAGTTCACTATTTCCTCCTCTGTATTCTCAAAGTTCTTCAAACAGATAGTTATTGTCTTATAATCAAACAGATTTGTATAAATGGAAAAGAACATGGAAAGACAGGACAGTCATAACAGATTAATTCAAATGAGAATGTTGCACGTTTTACTTACTTTTGTGGAGTCAAAGGAGGCAAATCCCATTAACTTCATCATTTCTATTTCTTCCTCTGTTTTGCCCTCTAAGTCTTCCTCTGCAAAAATGAATAATTATGTGAACTCTCTATCATTTCATATATATATATAAACAAAAAGAGAGGTGGTAACAGATTAATAGTCATTCCACCTCACTAGCAGAGAATACACAAAACAATTAGCTGAAGATGAGTCTAATGAAAAAATTCCTCTTACATTTGGACAGAATGTAACTTATGGTACAAAGAAAAAGTCCTCTCCTTGAAGCCTTTAGACAGGATTACCTTTTTAAAAAAATCTGGGTTTCATATTAAGGACTACCTTTAATATCAGGCATGACACTATCTAGTTCTGAAGATACTTCCAAAATAGAATATTCTCATGTTTGTAACTTCCCTTCTATATCAGGAGCACCACAGATAACCAGCAACTTGCTAGGGTGTAATTAACACAAAATCTCACGCTGGGCACGATGGTTCACGCTTATAAACCCAGCACTTTGGGAGGCCGAGGCGGGAGGATCATCTGAGGTCAGGAGTTTGAGACCAGCCTGGCCAACATGGTGAGAACTCGTTTCTACTAAAAGTACAAAAATTAGC